ACCAGCCCTCGAAAGTGGTGACGGTTTCGCAGATCGTAGACCCCCCAGGGATGGCGAGGTCTAGTTTGAATCTGGATAAGATGTCACTCCGGTGGGCCCCCCAGCAGCCCCCGAAAGTGGCGACAGTCTCACCGATCGCAGCCCCCCAAGGCTGGCGAGGATTAGTTTGAATCTTGGTAGGACGTCACTTTGCTGAACCCCCCAGCAGCCCTCGAAAGTGGTGATAGTTTCGCAGATTGTAGCCCCCCAGGGATGGCGAGATTTAATTATTAATCGGAATCAGGGTAATACGTCACTCCGCTGGACCCCCCCAGCAGCCCTCAATGTGGACGCAGTTTCGCAGATCGCAGACCCCCAGGGATGGCGAGGTCTAATTTGAAATTTGCGTGGTGCCTCATTCCGCCGGACCCCCAGCAGCTTTCGAAAGTGGCAACAGTCTCGCAGATCGTAGACCCCCCATGGATGGCGAGGTCTAATCTGAATTTGCGTGGGACGTCACTCCGCTGGACCCCCCTGCAGCCCTCGAAAGTGGCGACAGTTTTGCCGATCGCAGCCCCCAGGGATGGCGAGGTCTAGTTGGAATCTGCGTGGGACGTCAATCCGCTGGACCTCCCAGCAGCCCTCGAAAATGGCATCGCAGCCCCCCAGGGATGGCGAGGTCTGATTTGAACCTGGGTGGGACGTCACTCTGGTGGACCCCCCAGCAGCCTTCGAAAGTGGCGACAATTTCGCAGATCGCAGCCCCCCCAGGGAGGGCCAGGTAGGAGGCCTGCTGGCACGCAGGAAGGAGCGAGGTGAGAAGCAGGAGAGAGGGGGAAAGGGGGCGGGAGGAGAAAGGAGGTAGTAGAGACTGAGGGCTCTATTGAAAACGAGTACCCAACGCAGGATGGTTGGGACAAAATCACGAGAGGCCCCCAAGAGGCAAGCCATGCTGGTTCTCCCCGGGTGTTTGCATGATTGCATGGCTTTCGCACATTCGCCGTTCCGGATATCGGAGTGTCCCGAACGGTTCTCAGAGGGGAAAGAGCGCGTTCTGTGGTCGCTTGGAGAGGGGGGGGTTGGAACCGGACCCCCCCCTCCCTCCCCTACCTTTCCTCTCTCCCTCTCCTCGGGCCAGCGCCTGCGTCGGCGGCGGCTGGCGGCGGCGGCGGGTAGGTCGGTCGGTAGGTAGGTATTGTTGCAGTAGTAGTAGTAGTAGTAGTAGTAGTAGTAGTAGTAGTAGTAGTAGTAGTAGTAGTAGTAGTAGTAGTAGTAGTAGTAGTAGTAGTATAGTAGTAGTAGTAGTAGTAGTAGTAGTAGTAGTAGTAGTAGTAGTAGTAGTAGTAGTAGTAGTAGTAGTAGTAGTAGTAGTAGTAGTAGTAGTAGTAGTAGTAGTAGTAGTAGTAGTAGTAGTAGTAGTAGTAGTAGTAGTAGTAGTAGTAGTAGTAGTAGTAGTAGTAGTAGTAGTAGTAGTAGTAGTAGTAAGTAGTAAGTAGTAGTAGTTAGTAGTAGTTAGTAGTAGAGCAGTAGTAGTAGTAGTAGTAGTAGTAGTAGTAGTAGTAGTAGTAGTAGTAGTAGTAGTAGTAGTAGTTAGTAGTAGTAGTAGTAGTAGTAGTAGTAGTAGTAGTATCGTAGGTCAGTAGTAGTAGTAGTAGTCGTAGTAGTAGTATAGTAGTAGTAGTAGTAGTAGTTAGTAGTCGTTAGTATGTCGGTAGTCGTAGTAGTAGTAGTAGTAGTAGTCGTAGTAGTAGTAGCAGTAGTAGTAGTAGTAGTAGTAGTAGTAGTAGTAGTAGTAGTAGTAGTAGTAGTAGTAGTAGTAGTAGTCGTAGTAGTAGTAGTAGTAGTAGTAGTAGTAGTAGTAGTAGTAGTAGTAGTAGTAGTAAGTACTAGTAGTAGTAGTAGTAGTAGTAGTAGTAGTAGTAGTAGTAGTAGTAGTAGTAGAGTAGTAGTAGTAGTAGTAGAAGTAGCAGTAGTAGTAGTAGTAGCAGCAGTGGTAGTGGTAGTGGTAGTAGTAGTAGTAGTAGTAGTAGTAGTAGTAGTAGTCGTAGTAGTAGTAGTAGTAGTAGTAGTAGTAGTAGTAGTAGTAGTAGTAACAGCAGTCGTAGTAGTAGGTCGTAGGAAAATCGTGGTAGTAGTAGTAGTAGTAGTAGTAGTAATAGTAGTAGTAGTAGTAGTAGTAGTAGTAGTAGTGGGCTCGGATTTGGGGATGCAATCGAGTCGAGATGCGCTATCTATACATCGGAAGTCGGATGCAGTAGGCATACATTATATCCCGGATACAATAGGAAAGCATGATAATGTTAAACGCAATAGGAATACAATGGAGTTTGAATACCATAGGGATACAGTAGAATACGGACGCAATAGGTACACACTCGAATTTGAGCACAATAGGGGTACAACATCGTTCGAAAACGAGAGGAATACATTAGATTTCGAATCCACTAGTAATACGAGTTAAGTTGGACCCAGTAGGAATACGGTAGAAGTCGAACGCACGAGCAATGCAATGAACTTCGAA